TAGCAGTTGAAAGCCTCTAGACTCTATTTGGTACTAAATAAGGAGTAATTATAGTGTGGTATTAGACTACCGCTACATATAACTCGTTCACGTAATATTATAATGCATATTTATCAATATTATACACTAAAAGTGATAAATATTAACCATATCATTCACTCATACCCGTGAACGGATAATGTGCCCTATATCATACAGTACTTTCTAAAAAATAAGTGATCTGTAGTTATTGCTTACTTTTCTGTTTTAACTTGATTAAAAATTAGATAAAGGACTCAACTTCAAGTAAGAAAGTTAAGGAGTTGTTCCAAATTTTAAAACTATACTGGCTGCCGGGATTCAAATAACTCAAAAAGAAGAGGGTGCTTGTATTTCTTTTTCCACTCAGATGGTTTATTTTCTTGTAAGATATAATAGATACTTCTTCAATATTTATTCTCTCTATGACTAGCGCCCTTGAAATTCAGGAAAAAGAAAATAAATTAGTGGGATATATAGTCAAATTTCTAGAATTGTTTTATTTTCCTGTAAATCTGTTTTATTTTCCGGTTATTAAAAAGTTTATTTCTTAAATTCTTATTTACAGTGACAAGGAGACAGTAAATAAGTAATTGGGTTCAGTATGCAGCATTGGGAAGTCTCACGAAGCTATTTGCTTGTGTGGTGGGCGGAGACGATAACGACCGCAACATATGTGATGCATATGGATATTAGGTCATGTCATTAATTTTTCAAACTATCTAGAGATTTTGGTTTTAGTACATATGACTTGCATTTCCTAATTCTGAGAATAGCTTTGTTGTTATTGGAGAGATAAGAGATCATTGGAGCAGTGCTCGTATGCTTTGTCTATTTATATTTATTTCTTTTAGTGCTGAGGCAGCGCAGAAGCCCAAAATAAACAAGTCAGCTAAGAGCACTTCCAACAGTTTGCCCTTTGCCATGGCAAGGAGGAGGCTAGGGCAGCCATTATTTACGTGAATAGTGGCTGCCCTTGCAAGTTGTGGTGTTTCCACCAATTGTCATAGCAACAACTATTCACATGAGATATGATGACAGAAATTTGTATAGAGTTTGGTGTGGAAAGTAAAAACTATGACAAAGTATTTATTTTAAAAAAAAATCTGAACTTTTTTGTAATTTCTGTTATTACTGGGGCCCACAAAACCAGGCCAACCCTCAGGCTAGATGCATTTTGGCAAGCCAGGGCCTGCTCTTAAATAATAGAGAGAAATTTGTAATGAGGGGTTGTAACAAATGGTTATAATGAGGAGGTCCTTAATAACCATCAAATCAGAGAGAGAGGGAGAGAGAGAAGTAGGGCAATAATAGAGAAAAAAAGAAACTGCCATCTTCATCCCAACAGCACAATGGCCACGAAAGCCACAGATGAAGTAGTTTTGTCCGTGGTGAAGTTCGATTTCATCATTTCCTGACGAGAAAACTTGGTCGCCTATTGTGCATGTGGTGTATAACCATTTTCATCTACCACCGCTACATTGTGGTGTCCATTATGTTGTATTTGAACACTGCAAATAAAATGTCATTATAACAAGATCATTATTGAATTAGCTCTTAAGTACTAAACAATAGTTTTCTAGATTGATCATTGACATATTAGACTCCAATTAAACATCGTACGAGTTAAGAAAAATTTCATCCTCCTGCCAAATTAAGGCAATTCCTTTGTCATAATTTTCCCAATCCTCCAATTTTCATTTCTAAAATTTGGTTTATATGATTAATAAATATTCTTATGCACCAAACTAATAGTTGTATCAATTGTTGGTGTGAAGAGTAATATTGAATGAAATTGAGTTACTTGGGGCTAAGTATAGTAAGATTTTGTACAGTGATGTACTTTTTTTTTTTTGAATGACAAAAAAAAAAAAAAAAAATCCATTACCACCTGACCTTAAAGAAAATTTTCCATTTAGATTTGTTTATAAAATATATGTTCCTCTCTCTCTTATTATGTGATCTTTCACATGATGCGAGAGATAGACACAAGTAGACAAAAAAATACTCTTAGTGGATCCACTAGCTAGATTTTTGGCCAATTTGAACTTTCTAATTTTTTTTTTTCTTCATATTTTGTTAGTTGACAAATAGGGGTTAAGAGGGAGAGCCAAGTCATGCCTTGTAGAGCAATGCCAACTACCTTTTTTTTTTTTTTTTTGTAGTACAAGCAATAGTCTAAACTAGAGAGGAGGGGGATTTCACACACACAATGGTGGAGCCAGGATAGTATGTGTGCAGGGGCCGAACTGTAATACAAGTAGGGGAAAAAAAATCAATCTTACATCAATAATATATATATAAGGGGAAATGGACATTTTTTTAGAACTTTGTACTTAATTTCATGTGTCAAAACAGAAAATTCTTTTGATAAAATCTAGTTTCTCTTTAAACTATTTATTTTCTATTCCCTGAGCTCATCGGTATGTTTATTAGAGGATTAATATTTTCCTTTTTTTATTTTTTATTTTTTATGTCAGTTGTGTAATGGGCCCACAAACATTTTACATAATAATATATGAAGTTATTATGGATTGCAATGGGGGCCATTAGAATGGTTATATGGTTCGCATTGTTAAATATATGAACTAAAGCCCAAGCCTTACTTTGTTGAGAACAAATTGTTGGGGCCAAGGCCACCTCAGGCCTAAACTACCTCAGTCCCTGTATACACACACACACTATGATGTCGTGCAAATTTGAATTTGAGATCTCTGGTTTGCAAATTAAGGCTCTTTTTAACTGGACTAGACCCGTTGACAATGACGACTACCTAATTGAGTAGTTATGTGATGGTTTATGTTTGTATGTCTGATAAGATGGCCAGCTATTAAATATTCATATTTTATTTTTTAATAATCTTTCCTTTGTTTAAGGAAAAACAAGTTTAGCCTGCACGCATATCCTCCCTCTTCTTCTCCCACCAACTCCATCATCGGACCAAGAATAGATAAACAAAAAAAAGAAGAGGCAAATTTTCCTTCAAGTGCGGGGGCCATAGGATATATGATGGCGGAAAATTTGCTGAATTTGTGTAAAAAAGTCCAAAAAGTTGACAGTTTGGTCATGGTGGGTTTGATAGCACAATAACGTAAACTTGAATTTTGAGAACAGAAAGAGGTGTATATAATACAATTGGAATTGCTTTCAAAAGACCATAGGTATTCGATCCCAAAACAAAAAGGCATGGGTTATGCGCTATCATTACTCTAAGCGAGTGCCAAGGTATACGTTTAGTATGGTAGTGTGTGTGCGCTTCGAGAGATAGTGTCGATGTCCGGAGTGGTAGTATACCAGACTCAAAGTTCTGCTCTTCAAGTGGTAATGTGCTACTTTGAAGACTAGAACTAACACTCCGAAAGGTAATATACTAATTAAACAAATGTGAAAGTGCATTCGCGATTGGACAGAAAGCTACTTATTTCACGAAAGAAGAATGAAAGTGCGAGAACTAGGTATAATGCTTGCTAATCTAGAAATATAGTACGTAACTCCATTGTTTTATTGCATCATAAATTTATATGATTTTTTAACGTTGAGTTCTGGATTTATAAGATTTATTAAAATATGTTGGTTTTCTTTTCTTTTGGATGAGGTCTGTCAACATTTTATGGTGTAAACCCTTTTCTTTATATTCGGTCTTTTAGGTTTACACCAGCGTCTCCAAGGGCCGCAAACAAAGTAGGCAAAAGTGTACTACATAGACTGATGTAGCATGTTGCCTTATTCAATTGTCTCTTGGAAAAAAATTGTTCACTCCAATGGACTAGGCAAATGAATTAGGCAATGCAATATTATATTATCTATTTTCATCTTTTACATTTACCTCATTTCACCCACCACAAAAAGCCAAAAAAAAAAAAGATAATAAAATTGTATTTTATAATAATAAAAATATATGGGGTCCAATATACCTCTTTACTTTGAAGTAGACAATATTACCTTATTGGGGAGAGTATGTATATTTTGCATACCTATTTACCTCTTCTCTTCGAGCATGAAAATGTTGACATGGAAAGACAAATAAGGTTTGCCTACTCTTTTACCTTTTCCCCTGAAGATGCTCTAGTGGCAAGCTTGCAATGAACACAATGCTCTGTCTATTTAATAGGCTGCGATATTTTGAGGGTATAAACAATAATATTTCTACCCAGACAAGACTACTTATTGTTTATGCTGGAATTAGTCATTTCTACCTACAAGAGACTGCAAAAATGGTTAACTTTTATGTAGGAAAATGAAAAGAGCCAAGCTGTGTTGTTTGTTTCTTTTCTGCCCAAACAGGCTCATCTTAATTATTTTTGGCGTGGGTGATGACTTAAAGACCCGTCTGAAGAGGCCAAGTGTGTGTGGAGGTGAAGGGGCAGGGCTTGGCTGCATCGACAACTTCTGTGGCGTTATAGGTCGAACCGCATCATGACTTTTGCAACCACATCCTGACACACCCCCATCCCATGCCTTTTGGTGGTTGTGCGTGGACATAAAGAGAAAATTAGGAAAAACACGTTGACAACTGCATATTTTATATAGAAACACATAGAGGGATTGGAGAGAAAAAAACTCTCACTTAGTCACTTGTTATTTTCTAATTGATTGGTTCTTAATGTGTTACTATTTTTATACTTAAAAACACGCTATGGTTTTTTTTTCTTCTAAAATATTGGACTTGAAGCAATAGCGGATCCATAATTTAAAAATTAACTGGACAAAACTTACATACTAGACAAGAAATGGAACTTGGGTGTGCAGAGCAAGTGTATAGGCTTCCTTTAATTTATTTATTTTTTAATTTTTGGCTGAGTGATATCATATGCAGCATTTTTTTGTAAAAATTTGAGTTGGCCATGCATAGAACCGCCACTGATTTGAAGGGTTTTTCTCTAAAATATAAAGTTATAATGGATCTATATGTCAAAAACTGGGTCCTACGACTCCCACTACCACCCTCATTAAAAAGGCCACACCCCTCATCTTTATCAGTCACAACTTAACCTCTCTCTCTCTCTCTCTCTCTCTCTCTCTCTCAGTTGTTGTTGTTTTTGGACTTCAAGTTTACTAAACGGTGCCGTTTGAGATCATGGGTCAGGGAAGAGGCAGTGCAGGAGTTGGTGTGGTTATGGTGATGTGCCTGAGTTTGCTGCTGCTCCATTGTGAATGGGCTGAAGCCAGAAGCTACACTGTTGGGGATGCGGGTGGTTGGTCGCCTAACGTTGCTGGGTGGCCTAAGGGGAAGTCATTTAGAGCCGGTGACGTGCTTGGTTAGTATATACAAACTCAAAGCATATATATTATTTTCTTCTTCTGCTTAGTAAATTATATACAGCTTTGAAGAAAGATTATTTGATTGATAATTAGTATAGGAAAATTCATGAAGTTGTAACTCGAGTGATAATTAGTTCTTTTTCCTTTTAATTTGGACTGATTTAGAGACTGAATTCTGTTCACCAGGAAAAGTACTTCTAAGGCAGGGGCCTAGTGAGCCCATGTTTGGCTAATCATCGGTAACTCAAGTGATTGAAAGTATAAGAGTGATTTGTAGCTCGAGTGGTTAAAAGTGTAAAAATAATTTGTAACTAAAGCGGTTAAAAAAGAGTGGTTAAGAGGTTTTTATGCTGCAACCAGACTCTGTTTCTTCCTCCCTTTTTAAAAAAGGAAAGGAAAGGACCAAAATGCTTCACAAGATACAAAGTAGACCCTTAAAACTCGCATGAGTTTGGGAGGACTTGGATTTTCTTAATTGTCTAAAGCCAAATATACTTTTTTAACTAAACCTTTGAATTAGCTTGTACTTTAGCATATAATCTTGATTAATCTTAGTACCCTGACCTCTTGCATATTTGATTATAGTTTTCAACTACGCGCCTTCTGCTCACAATGTGGTTGCTGTGAACAAGGCTGGGTATCAGACATGTAGCACTCCAAGAGCTGCCAAAGTCTTTCAGACTGGAAAAGATCAGATCAAGCTTGCTAAAGGACAGAACTTCTTCATTTGCAGTTTCCCAGGCCACTGCCAATCTGGCATGAAAATTGCCATCACTGCAGCCTAGGCTTATCTCATATATATATATATATTATAATCGCTATATATCCGGTATACTTCTATATAGCTGGATCTATTGTGAGTTTCACTACTACTTTGTGATGAAGAAATAATAGGTCAGTGGTATTGCTGTTGGCATGCGAACTAGTGGTCTATAGTTTGATCCCTATGACACCGTGTGTGTGAGAATATCCTCTCCCTCTTTTTAACTGTAGCAAAAAAAAAACAAAAGAAAGAGTAGTTTGACACTCACTCAAAGGGGAAAAAAGTCTCTTTGGTGGCCCATATAAGTAATGTCATAAATAAAGTACGAATGAAAAGGGAAAAGAAAGAAAGTGGTATGTACGATTAAAAGTTTTCTCATAAGAACACACTAGAAGAATTCCTAAGTGAACAGTTTTAGGAAAATAATATTGAGGTATAGTACTCATTTAATCTCTAGTTTAAAGTTTAGGTCTTGCACAATGCATATGATATTGCATGAACTAAACAAATTTTATTCCATTAGGTTTACAACAAACCATGTTCTAAGAAGGCAGAGAGAGAGAGAGAGAGAGAGAGAGAGAGGTTTGGCAATAACAAAGATCAAAAGGTGATTTTATTGTCACTTTATTATATAAAAATGACTGCAAGTAAACACCAAGGTAGGTCAATTTGATTATGTGGCAGTTACTGCCATCTTCATCCCAGCAGCACAGTGACCAGGAAAGCCACAGATGAAGTAGTTTTGTCCATGTTGAAGTTTGATTTCATCATTTCCTGATGAGAAAACTTGGTCGCTTATTGTGCATGTTGTGTAACCATTTTCATCTACCACCGCCACATTGTGCTGTCCATTATTGTATTTGAACACTGCAAATAAAATGTCATTATAACAAGATCATTAATGTGTTTTAGCTCTTAAGTACTAATTAACAAGATATCTTTCACTTTTTTGAAAATTAATGATAATTGTATTCAATAATTAGACACAGAGACCAAATTCTCATGAAGGATTAATACAAAGACGGATATCTTTCCATTTTAGCCCGTCGTTTAACCAAAAAAACCAACCAAAAAAAAAACAAACAAGACGTTATATTCCTTTTAAAATTTGGAGATCATGCACTCCAAAATAATGCTAAGATGTGTTGGCATGGGGTCTCTTTCTCTTAGCTTTTTAATAATCAGAGATCTTCATAGATCTTCCAGTAGAAAAAAGAAAATTCAAGCTAATAATTAATTATTTGATTGAACAACCGAAGATATTTGAATTCATGACCTCCTCCAAAGTGGATTATGAGTGTTACTAAACGAATTGACATATTAGACTCCAATTAAAAATCGTACGAGTTAAAAAAAATTTCACCCTCCTACCAAAATATGGCAATGCCTTGTCATAGTTTTCTCAATCCTCAAATTTTCATTTCTAAATTTTGAGGAATCATAACTTTCATCCTACAAAGTTTTTTTTCTTTCTTTTTTCCTTTTTCTGCAATGTGTTATTTCGGAAAACATTCGTTAAGATCTATCAAAACTCATGAATATAAAAATATTTCAGAAAACAAAGGGTCAATAAAAATTAACATAATTTAACAACTTTATACTTCAAAGTTAGACATAATTCAACATAAAAGTTGGCCAATTTAAGACTTGCCCAATGTATCGTGAGAGTGGAATAATTTCTTGCCAGTAGGCCAGTCATGGACCTTAAAGTTCCAACCATCATCATCTCCAACGGTGTAGTTGGTCGCATAACTAATCTCACAACAAGGCAGCATTATGCACAACAATAACATTGTGGCAACGATTGCACTGCCTCTAGTATGATTTGAACATGTTGGCGTGACTTGTGGATATTGACTTACTTTCCTTACACACCAAGGATTCCTATTTTATTTGTAATTGATTTACTTTAATTCCTGATTTCCTACTGTAAATAGATTTAGGAATTTATTATTTACTTGCCCATTCAGGTTTTGTTGTATTATAAATATGACCTCCTACAAGGAGAAGAATACATAGAAAATTCCCACAAACAAATATTCTCTTATAGTTTTCATATTTTAGCAGACCTCATCTTTGGTTTTCAGATTCTCGCTCCTCCCTGCCTTTCAATCTTACAAGGTTGTTTGCTCTTCCAATCAAGGTAATAATCTCAACCTATCCTTGCTCTTTATTTTAATTTTTTTATATAGCAATTTATGATTTCAGATTATACATGGTGGGAACCAGACCTCATCTTTGGTTCCTTCTGTATATTTGTCATCACTCTGTATCTTGTAATTTTGGTCTATATTTGAGAAGAGGAATTGGGTCTGAATGCTTCATCAACTATTTAGAGAGGAGTGCTTGCAGAGAACATTATAGCCGTGTTTGCAGAGAACATTATATAGTCTTTATATATTTGATTTTTCATTTTCATTTGGGTCTATTGGTTGATTTTGAGTTATAGACAATAAAAAAAAAAGAGAGATAAAAAACAGAGAACATAAAAGATTTTATAGAAATAATAAGATTAGAAAGAGAGACCAAAACATAGAATAGAAGCATACATGGTCATCCTACAAGTTAATAATAGTCAAATTGTACATGGTCATCCTATAAGGTAATAATAGGATACAGTAAATTCTTCTGATTTGTTCTTTTTCATTACTGTGTGTTTGATTAGGCATAATGACATATCATGAGTTTAGACTGTTGTATGTGGTCTATTTATGTCAATTGCCTGTGGGTCAATGGAGATTGTTCCATCACTTTTTTTCTCTCTTTCTCTCATATGTAAATGGGGCAAATTAACTTTCTTTTGTGTTTACACAGCATTGAAGATTCTTTTCAGATTGGACATGAGATTGCATCTGAAATTACTGCTATGAAACCAAATCCAATTGTTTGGAAGATGGAAAAAGTTTATAGCCCGTGCTTCCTCCTTATTAAGAAGCGTTATGTTGGTTACAGTTATGAAAGCCCTGAACAGATTGCCCATGACAGTTCGCAGGGATACATGTGGGGCTGTTGCCAAGACAATGGAGCAGTCTTTGAGACTTTTTTTTGAACATCAGGATATGTATGAGGTACAAAAGCATGTGCTATTCCTTTTGATTGTACTTGAACTGGTTTGATAAAATCAAGGGTGAAGAGCAAAAGATAGGACGTCCATTGGTTGTAAGTCAATCCATGTTCCCATGTTACCTCTTTAGTTTCATAGATATCTTGTATTTGCCCTGAGTTTTTTTTCCTTAAAATAGCTTTTACTGGTGGTTGACTTGATTTCCACGGTTAGATGATGACCTTTGTTTTTTTTACACAGGTTAGAGCATACTTACAGCGTCAATGGAAGCGGATTCTATCTGGAAGGGTGTCTCTTCAGGATTTTGTATTTGCAAAGGAGGTTCGCCTTGGCACCTACCGTGCTTGTATCTATTTTTCTGTTCTTATTTCATTACTGTCTGTCATGTATTGCCTTCTTGATATATTTGATTTAACACATTGACTAAAACTTTGTTTTGGAAACAGAACTAGCTCTGTTCTTGTTTTGGCAGGATAAACAAACAATGTTATTATTAATGGGAAGTAGCAGCAGCCCAGCATTAGTGAAGATTCAAAGGAAGCTATGAAGCATGCATTCGAACTCTTTAATGTTCGATTGGAAGTAGACTTTGGGACTAGTGATATAGGACATAGCTTAGGATTGTAATGAATATTTGTAATTTATTACATTTGTCTTTTATTAATGATGATATATACTATTCTTCGAACAACAATTTCTCAATTGAAATATTATTTATATTTTTTGACAAAATATTTGTACGTTTAATGCTTATAAATGTAGTCGGAAAAACTTTTTTTCGACAAGCTTCCATGTCAGAAAAGCACAATTCCAACGAATTATATTTATCACAAATAGTAATCTAGGGTCGGAAATACTATTTTCGACAAATAGTCATTGGTCGAAAAAATAGTATGGCAAGAACAAAAGATCTCGATAAAAAATTATTTCCGATAGGTTCGCAAGTATTTGCGACCACATTTATTGTTGGAAATGAATTTGTATGGTCGTTTTGAAAATCTATTTCTGATAAAAAAAAAATAGCAATATCGACGAAATATGGGTGTCGAAAATACATTATTTCCGACGGAATGGTCGGAAAAAAAGTATTTCCAACCGGCGTTTTAGCGACGACTTCCGACGAACCTTTGCCGTCGAAAAAGCGAATTTCCGACGGCAAAAGGCTTTTTGCGACCACAAAATACCCTCACTAAAGGCCTTCTGTTTTGTAGTGCGAGGTGATACACTTCATCACCAGACGCACCCACGATTGATCAAACCCCATTTTCAGCAACACTGCATTCACAAAATCCCATTCGATTCTATCATAAGTCACAAACTTTTGAAGAAACATTTGTTTGAAGTTATGAATGCATTTACGTAACAATCTATGAAGTAAGTTCCCTCTGTCAGTGGCAACAAAACAAGTCAATTTTGTCCTCGCGGCCATGCGCGTTCTCTTTGCTGTCCCACAGCATTTACACACTATAGTAATTTGGTGGAGTACGTACTTGAAATTAAGACTAATATTAATACGCGTCTAATATACAAGATTTAGAAACAAAAGTTGACAATTATGCAACATAAGATGGATCCTCCAAGGCTTATTACAACGAACGAGAGTACGTTTCATCATCAGGCCGCCTGTGAGATTTCATACGCAATTAACAAAAATCATTATTGAAGCATATGAAGTGGTAAACTTTTTGTTGTTCGTTTTTCTCTGTTAGTTTATAGCCTTTGGCTTTAGCTCAAGGTCCCCAACATAATTGGATGTTAATCAAGTGTTTTGGTCGCTAAACTAATTAATCAGTATTCACGGTGATGTTTATTCATGCATACTCCATCACCTCTTAGTGCTGCACAAATGATGAGTAGCGCTAGTTGAACGAGTCAAATGAAAATCCATTCCACCATTTTATAAGTGGTAATTTTGAAGTAGTGATAGCTACTTAATTAGTTCTTTAAACCTAAGTAATTATTGTGCCGTAATCAAGTAGAAGACCCCATTTTACATTTGGATTATGGTAATTGGGTATGATCAGTTTGTATGACACTATGAGATTTTATGTTTGGCTTCCTGTGTGTGAATCGTCATGGGTCTCGTAGCTTGATGTTGATGGCAAGTCTTCCCATGAACTCCCATAATCCGTGACGTTTTTGCAATCTTTGTCTAATTAATTAAAATTGATGTTTCTGAAACTTCCTGCTTAAATCCAGACTTGTTTCTTTGTATGTTCTCATTTTCATATTATAATTGACTTGGAAATTACATCACAGAACCCCTATTACGTAGAACTACCAAAATAACATTTGCCGAAGCTCATTTTTTATTTATAAAAGGTAGTAGAATGTGGGTCGTATTTAGCCCAAAACTAATTGGTAATAGGTAGTTTCAACATCTTTTAAACTATTAATGTAGAGACTTCTATTTTCGACGAATGATAATACTCTAACATGCCCCTCCCTTCCACCTCCCCCACCCCTACTGTGTGACATCACCCAAACTAAACAAGTGGCCAATACATATTACAATATATTGAGTAATGTGGAAGCATGTGTTGTCGTTGGGTTCAATACGTAGAAAGTCTGCTCTAATATCATAATAGAATGTGAACATCCGACTCAAAATCAATTAACAATATTGGGTAGAAATTTTCAACATCTTTTAAACTATTCATGCAAAGCTTTCATTTTCAGTGTGAGAATACTTTCAAATGCTACTATTTTCTGCCGAGTTGTATCTATTCTGTGGATTGCTCTGTTTACCATATAGGCTTACCGCGTGAAGTTGATGATGACCGACCCACATGTAAACTTGACTCAAAATTAGAGATCAATGCATCCAGCCCAAGCAATCCATAACCAAAATGTGAACCTGAGGAAGAGTCGAGCCACGAAAATAAGAATCATTTGAGAGAGAGAGATAGAGAGAGATAGAGAGAGATGTCCTTGGAGGGATGCTTCCTTTACATCATGGGTAAATTTTCTGTGAAAAATACCAAAAGGGTCAATTATTCTGTGTGTTTCTGGTGACCCAATTTCAATTGTTCATATTATTCTTGATAGTGACCCATAACGGACTTGTGTGACATTTGCTTTTTTGCAAGCTGGACTTGTGTGTGTGTGTACATGCCTTCAACATTCTGGGTGTATAAAGTTTTACCATTTTATGGAGATATACATTTTCTTTAATTCCAATTCTAAATAGAAACACATTTTTATTATGAAAGGTAAAACTTCAAATGTTGAAAACCAGCCATTAGTTAGTGTGAATTTGTTATCTGGGTTCAAAATTGCCCACATTCATTCCATCTGTTTAGGCGTAATATAAACTGAGGCTCAAACCCATTCAATTTGAGGAAACAATGTAGGCTAATACATGTTTTAGAAGCCCTTAAGTGGACGTTTTCTTGGATTCTGTGAAGCTAATTGGCATTGGTTTTATACAATTGGTGATGCATGGTTCATTGGAGGTAATGTCATTGCCAAAAGGCCCTGTAGCTAATGTATTAATAGCCTGAAGTCAGTATTATTTTTGGTTTTTTTAATGGGTTATCTCTGTGAAGCTAATTGGCATTGGTTTTATAGAAACCTGACTCAGATTTTCCATTATATTGGGTGAATATTACTGCCTGACTGAGATTGCATGTTTCAATTTGATGGACAACTGTAATTGTTGGAAATGAGAGTGCATATTTTATATTTAGGAAGCTTCTGCTTGGAACAAGCAATTTTATATTCTGAAATTCAACATTCTTTTATCCACAAAATGTTGGTGCATCTCGTATATATTAAAAAAATGTTGATGCATCCTTATTTTTGTTGTTGTATTTATGGGTTTAACCCGATTATTTATCATAAATAAAATTCATTTTTTATTCTTACTCAAAGGGCTAATACCTGGAAATCATTAGAATTGGAGGTATTTGAAAGAATTTAAATTCTCATTCTCCAATATCGCTTATATACATAAAATAATTGAAGAAATAACTCTAGCCCAATGGGCTAAAGTGGTATTTTAGCCCTAA